TCTGTCCACGCGACTGCTTCAGTATAAAAAAAACGCATAACATATTTTTGACGTTCTGGCTGCATTTTTGACGAGCAACTAAAATATGTTATTTACTTGCTTAGTTCTTCTGAAAATAATCAGAGAACTTATACACTCAACATTTTCACCCTATACAGTTACATAGATGGCGCCACTGACGCATGTCAACTTTTCTACTCTTGCCTTTCGTTATAAAAAGGATGTTCTGTAGTTTAAGCTCGATGAAGCTAACAATTAAAGTGATGGACATACAGCGTGTTTCGGTTTATTGTTGCATCACTTCAAGATTCGATAGAACTTTTAATATTAATGCATAAATTCTATATAAACATGGATCGAAAAATGCATGGCTTCCGAAATACAGGGTGTTTAGATTTACTTTCTAAAATAGTTTTTTTTTAAATATTTCGAACAATATTTGATGTATAAGCCGCTAGAGGGCGCTCTCTACTGTACCTGTAGTGTATTAAAATGACCGAAAAATTTTTCTTAGTGCAATTTTTTGCTTTTTCAATAAAAAAACTGATTGCCCGCACTTTTCAACATAAAAAAGCTCTCTTGTAAATGTTCGTTATAGTTAGCCGTTTTTGAGATATTTCGATTTTTAAGGTTCGATGCATTTTTAATTATTTATGATAAAATAACGTTAAAAAGTCAGTATCTCGATAATTTTTAGAAGTAGGCTGTGCATGCAAATATTTTTGAAATTGAAAGCAGAATAAGGTTAAACGTCAATTAATTGACAGTTAGTGTTGTTGTCTGTTGAAACCTGAAACGTTTTTTGCAATTGTGAATGCACGAAACTTAGTTTCTTTTACCTGTTTTTTTTTGTAAGTTTTATAAAAATGCCATTTTTTTCCTCCAATCAAGAGTTAGCGGATATTCATTTTGTGTATGGCTTTGTAAACGGAAACGCAGCAGAAGCAACCAGAGAATACGCACGAAGATTTCCAAATAGACGACATCCAACTCGCTCAGTATTTGTAAGAATGCATCGCCAAATAATTGAAAATGGTTTTGGAAATCGCCAAAGGGATCAAATCATAAATGTTCGTCAGCGCAGATTTACCCGTATGATTCTGCGTGAGTTTGATAGAGATCCGACCACAAGTGTTAGGAGAGTTTCTGGTGCCTTGGGAATTTCAGCAAGCCATGTTCACCGTGTTCTTAGAAATGACCATAGACGTCCTTACCATTTGCAATCTGTGCAAGGACTACAGCCAGGGGACGGAGAACGAAGAATCACATTTTGTCAGTGGATTCTTGATAGAACTGATAATAATAGGGAGTTTTTAAGTCACGTTTTATGGACCGATGAGTCATGCTTCACTAGACGTGGAGTGGTAAATTTTCGTAACATATTTGGTCGCATGAAAATCCGCATGCAGTTCGGGAAAGAAATTTTCAGCATGAATTTAGTATGCCTGCAAGGTCAAATGCTGCGACCTTCTTGGAATTTTTAAAGACTGAACATGCAAATATGTGGGATGATGTTATGTTAGATTTAAGAAAATTGGCCTGGTTCCAGCTTGATGGTTGTCCAGCTCATTATTCGAGAATAGTTAGAAACTGGCTGGACGAAAATTATCCAGAAAGATGGATCGGCCGTAGAGGACCAGTCGCCTGGCCTCCACGATCCGCTGACCTAAATCCATTAGATTCCTTTGTGTGGGGATTTCTAAACAAAAAAGTGTACCAGACTCCCGTAACCACAAGAGATATGCTAATAGACAGAATCAGGTATGCATGTGATGCAATAAGGCCTTATTTGAATAATGCTATACCAAGTTCGATCATTCGTAGATGTGAAATGTGTATTGAACAATTGGGTTTACATTTCGAGCAACTACTTTAGATTCTGTATGTTTGTCCTTACTATCCAATAGCATTTTAGTTGTAAATAATTAATTTGATTTGTTATAAATAATATTGGAAAATTAAACAAATTAATATTCTGTTTTTTTGTGTTTATTTGGAGTTAGGAATTATTGCTGTGTTTAAAAACACAATCTAACCTAAACGATCATCTTAATTAATTGTAATGCCCAAATCGAAAATGTAAAAAAAATATTATTTTCCCATAAATAATTAAAAATGCATCGAACCTTAAAAATCGAAATATCTCAAAAACGGCTAACTATAACGAAAACTCACAGGAAAGCTTTTTTATGCAGAAAAGTGCGAAGAATCAGTTTTTTTATTGAAAAAGCAAAAAATTGCACTAAGAAAAATTTTTCGGTCATTTCAATACACTACAGGTACAGTAAAGAGCGCCCTCTAGCGGCTACAGTAGAACTATGCCCATGGTTCGTTTTGTCGTACCAAGAAACCCTTGTTTTCACTGTTATACAACAAATATTGTTCGGAATATTAAAAAAAACTATTTTAGAAAGTAAATTTAAACACCCTGTATTTCGGAAGCCACGCATTTTTCGACCCATGTTTATATAGACTTATGCATTAATTTTAAAAGTTCTATCGAATCTTAAAGTCATGCAACAATAAGCTGAAACACCCTGTATATTCCATGGAACAGCAATCAAGCCGGAATCATTAACAATTTACACAATTGTTTTCCTTGTCACTGTAAATAGGAACATCCTCATTTCTAATGCGCATGTTCGTTCTTCTTCAGGTCTACGTGTCGAAATAGCATGAATCGTTAACACTGCATGCAGTAGAATGTTTGGTCACCTACAAGGTAAACAGAACACAAATACGGCCGCCCAGGCATTGTACTAGTTTAATTTTACCGATCGTTTCCTGAATGTTCCACTGATCAAAATCCCCGCGTTGGCGCGGTGGTCAATGGTAAATAAGACTAACAATCCCTTTGTAAAGCTGAGTTTCACACCCTAATGAGCAAATTTACATTACGGGCTGTACGCACAAGCCAAAACTAAAACGCCACAGTACTGGTAGACAAACTTTGATTGTCACCTAGATGTGGTGGCCGAATATTCAACCCTTAGTTTGGATTTTAAAGTAGCATACAGACTAAGGCACCATTTATACCAAAAGCTGGGCTATGTTCACTTAAATTTCCATATTCATTGGGAAAATAACAAAGTGACCATTGGTGACCAATATAGGATCGAACTTGTTAAAACCGTGTTGGACTCTTTTATAGGGAAAAGTACCTATAAAGTAATTAAGGTCGTCAGAATTGTGGGTAAGCCCAGCTCAATAATCATAAAAATTCAACATTCCATCGATTTATCACATTCGCGGATTAAATCTATATTAATCCGTGCACTGAGATGACATTTTCACATACATCATTTTTTGGAGAACATAGGCGTTCCCTAGAAAATCTAATTATTCCATAAGAGTATGAAGAAGATTATCTATCATTTCAGATCATGTGACATAACATACGCACATAACACCTTGTATGCTCTTCATAGGATTGGCATCATTAGCTTGCTAATTCTAAATAAATCGAAATTCTAGCCTCGCTGCCTTAGCATTATCTCCAAGCTATGAAATAATTGTTAAGGTTGAAAGTCAAGTTGTACTTATCGAGTATGGTCTTTCAGAGTTTCTACACCCTCTTCAGACCCAGAGTAACTTCTAAACGATTGTCGATTTTTTAGGTGATTGTTTGGACATACAAAAGTCAAAAATTACCGTATTTTTCAAAAATTTTAATACCATTTTGAAAAAAAATTAAGTATCACAAAGGATACTTTGGGTCTCTGGGCATACAAAAAAAATTAAGTAAGCAAGTGAAAAAATGTTAACTATTTGTGAAAAGTTAAAAAGCAATAAGCTCAAATACACTCCACAAGATTTACATTTCGCAAAAGTTAGTTTATTGCACGTAGGTAAACGGCACTTAGTTCGAGATTTTTGTTTGCCTTACATAAATTCTACCTGTAGCCTGCATCTCTTGTCGAGAGGGGGTTGGACGCTTCGTCGTTTGTTCCCTAGTTGAACTTCTTCAGATTCTATATCTTCCTAGTCTTGATGTTCTAATTCCAGTGCTTTGGCGACAGATAGTTTGAAATCAAAATAATCCATAACATCCTTTCTACGTAAGCCGACAGCTTTAGCTTGCTGCTACTGAGAAATCGACAGAATGAAAAATAGTTCGCACAGTCCATTTGTTTGTCCGATTTCTCATTGAATATTTTCCAATTACGCGATCTAGAAGGTCTACTCCACCCATGTATGCATTGTAGTTTTTAATAACTGCTGGCTGTTTGGCATCAAGACGCTTTTTCTCAACCTTAGACCACCTACTACGAGTTCCTTCTGGGTCCACGCCAATGCAGGATGAAGCAAAGTTTACAGGTTTGTTATCGAACCACCTCACAAGTATTATTTTTCCATCATCCCGCACAAGGTGATCATAGCTTCCTCTCTTTTCCTTTTCTGTTCATTATCAGGTAGAAGACTAGCACTTTTAGGAATTCTGTTAGACATTAGCCATATTCATAAAACAAAGGATATCCTGTTACTTGCAAATTTTGAAGGAAATCCTCCAGATGGTATTTATAATAATTTGAAGTAAATGCTTTTGCTTTTTGAGTATACGCATATCCTTCAAAGCAGTGACATAAGTAAAAGGATATTCATATAATCTTCACCCTATACTTGCATAGGAAGCATATCGTTCAAAAATTCTGAGTGTGTCAGTAGCAGACTCAGCTTCGTAACGAAATGTGGTCAAACGATGATGGCGGAAATTGTGGATGTTAGGGATGTTAAAACGTACAAACCTCGTTTAGCTTCACTTGGTCGTGACTTCAAAAAGTTATGTCGGTTCGACAAAGCAAATGTAAAATGGCAAGCGGACAGATTTTCAGTTGAGAATGAGGAAACTTTTGAGGAGGAGCACCTTCATGTATTCATAAAATGAAGATATGTCTACGCTATCTCGGCGACCCTGGATATCAACAAGGTCACGAACTTGGTGTTAGTCAAGCAACGGTATCTCGGACTGTGGATAGAGTTGTGAAGAGATAGTTGCACAGTCGAACGAATGGATCAAGTTTCCAACTACCAACCATGAACTGATGGAGGCCAAGCGGATATGGCCAAGCATGTATAAATTTCCGACAGCAATTGGTGTAATTGATTGTACCCATATAGGAATCCTCAAACCAAGTCGCCATGGAGATGAGTATATCAACCGGAAAAGGAAACCTACTTTAAATGTGCAAGCCACTTGTGATGCCAGAGAGATGTTCACAAGTGTTGCCGTCAGTTGGCCTGGATCAGTGCATGATTCCAGAATATGGAGAAATCCACAGACTGGATCACAACTAATAAATAAAGCAAATGCACTACTTAGGGATGACGGTTATGGTATTGAGCCATGCCTTATGACTCCCTTCAGAAATCCTACTCCAGGTGCATAAATAAATTATAATAAGCTTTTGAAACAAGAAAGAGTTATAATTGGATGCTGTTTCGGCCAACTGAAATGCCGGTTTCCTATCTTACAGTATGTTTGCCACGTAGAGTTGGAAAATGTGCCGAAAATAATTATTGCTTGTATTGTACTCCATAATGTTGCGAAGAGCTTGGGCGATTTTAGAACTGCTTTTTTCTTCAAACTTGATTTCATGTTGTAGATTTTTTTAATAAGCCTTAAGTATCTAATGGTTTACCGAATGTTGATTCGTCATTTTTCAGCGTCTTCTTCAAGGCATCGTCCTGACACCGTCCAAAATGTTTTGTCGACTATTTCATCGTGCACAAACAAACAAAAATATTAGTGACACCTTTCTAAAGTATTTGTGGATTACTGCATTTAGCTGAAAGCTTACTTTTTGTAATTATGGATTCTTATGCAGATAAAGTAACATAGGTAGAGCTTGCGCAGGACATGGAAGTGACATTGTCGGTTATTTCCTGTTGGTAACATGAACTTATATTTTTGTACTGTTAAAAAAACTGAGAATCGGAGGCTTCGCATTGTGTCATTTTTTATTCGATGAGTTGAGGCCAGCGATAGGCAGAAAGTGAAGAAGATGCTTTTGAAGTTTTATATGTCCATCCGTACAATAATCCAATATGGGATCTATGAGAAAGAGTAAAGTTGATGACTGAAAACAAGACATGAAATGTTATACTGAAATTCTTGTACATGAGAAAAACTGGCAATGTTGATGTATTTTTTGTTTCGGAAATGTCATCTCAAATAAAGAAAGAAAGAATAAAGTCGATTTTGGGCAAATCCAGTTACTTTCGTGTATCTTCGAAAGTACTGGGAATCGCGGAATTTACTGAGATCCACTTTCTTAGTTACCTAAGTGCGTAACTTTGCCCCCGTTTAACCCAATCCGAGATCCCTACGGTGATAGCCGGATCTGAAACACCAGGTATAAGGATATGTTTCCAAATGACCTCTAAAGAGCCTGTAAAAACTAATGAATACAATAATACGAACAGCTAGTCCTTGGTGTAGTAGGTAACTGAAACAGTTTCGTTATACGATAAACTTAGAAAGGGCTTTTAAGCCTAAAAGTGTTTCGGCCCCCTTTCAACTGATGAAGCAGATAACCTGGATGTTGCGATAACGCGCCAAATCACGCGAAAAAGTTTTACTCTCCCCCTGCCTAATTAAAACGAAAGCTTAATTGGCATCAAATTGAATCTTATCTGTCATAATTAATCGACGGACTAATTTGCAAATCGGATGAAGCATCTGAACGATACACAGGATTGCGCATACTGTCCTTGGACCCCAGTTTAACAACCTTAAAAGTAACGGTGGATACTAAAAGCGTGACCTAGTTAAATATAGGTCGTATCTTTTTTATGCGGAAGATTGCTTGCTGGCTTTATGCTAAAGCTACGTTCTCACGGGGCAAAAAGTCGACAGCGTGGTACGCTTTTGATCCCTTATGTGACTCTTGGAGCAAGTGGCAGTAGGTAAGGTTTTACTCATATTGATCCTAGGTTATCGAGCCTCTATGTACGAGAAAGCTCACTGAGCTATAAAGCAAAATCGGAATCCCGTGAAGTTATACTAAGTGACATATAAATCCGATCACCCAGTTTAAATGGTTTTATTTTAATAAAATTTTAGTACTTAATGAAGCATAATAAGTAAATGATAAAAATTTCAAAATGATTGCACTGCTTTAAAGCCCTTTGAACTTTAATAATGTGTGGATGCACCCTGATGTGCTACGCATCCTCCAACGCGCCTAGGCATGCTTCTGATCAGGTGGTCAATGTCCTCCTGAGTTATCGCATTCCAGGCAATCACCAACTCCTCCCGAAGTGCTTCTAGAATCTGCAACATGTGGTCGGGCATTATCTTGTTGGAAAGTTGGATCTGCCAGGGTGTCAAGATAGGGTAAAAGATGGGGTTCTAGAACTTCGTGGATATAACGCTGCGCGTTCATGTTACCTCTGATGAAGATTAAAGGTGACCTGGAACCATAAGCTATAGCACCCCAAACCATAACTCCAACAGTGTGATAAACATGTCTTTCAACAAAAAACTGTGGATTCCTCCTTTCACCACGTCGCCTTCTAACCCTGGCACGACCATCGTGCATACCTAAGCAAAATCGAGACTCGTCACTAAAGACAATACTGTTCCATTCCTGATCCCAGAGTGACCGTTGTCTGCACCACTCAAGGCGATTACGTCGGTGTTCTCGAGTTAAAGGAAGGACCCAGTGTGGGTGGCCGCTATGAAAACAAGCCAAAACTTCTCATTCGTCGGTAAACACTTCGCATGCCAATAGGTCTTCCGTGTTCTGCAAACCATTCATTTGCAATGGACCTGGTAGTGGAGAAACGATCCCTTAAGGCCAATAATCTTAGGCGGCGATCTTCACGGTCTGTTGTTCTACGGCGGGGTCCAGTGCCCTTTGCTCTTTGCGTACGGCCTTCTCGAAGCCATGCCTGACAACACCTAACCACAGTGTCTACACTTCTTTGCACTCTAACTGCAATTGCCCGAAAAGAAAGTCCAGCTTCCCGAAGTCCCACTATACGGCCCCTATCAAACTCACTAAGTTGACGAAATCGTACAGGTCTCCGTACTCTAGGCATCGTAACCGATCGTAAAGGATGTCAAGAACCAAAATCCCCCAACGTTGATTCTTTACTGCGGCTGAAATATTCATTTTTAGAGCGTTAGTGAATTAAAAAAAGCAGTATAAAAACCGAAATGTCCAACTGATAGAGCTGAAAATTTTTTCACTTGTTATTTACAGTAAGATAAATACATTCACCAACTTTTATTAAAATAAAACCATTTAAACTGGGTGTTCGGATTTATATGTCACTTAGTATATTTTAGAATGTTTAGGAAAGTGACTGAGCGAATGTTATAGATTTCCGTATCATGTACTGAAGGAAGGATAATCAGGCAGGACCACATCACTCAGGCTCCATCAGAACCCTTGCACATTCTCCATAGCGATTCTTCAAAGCTATTGAAAGTGGCGGTGGTATGAGGCAAGAGAAAATTAAGTATTATATTGATAGTCTCAAGGCAAGGCCCATGTTTCTGCTGATATATCCTATACCAGGATGACCAGGATGAATCACACCTCAACTACGCGACTCTCCAGCGAACAGAGAGCCAGGAGTAACGTCCCAATTGTTCTTGAAATGTTCGTGGATTCTGCATGAACTCTTTTAACACACTTACCACTAGGAATATAGCTTTCGTTCGCCCGATCAGTGACGCATAACCATAGAGAGCGGTTTTGTGCTATTTGGTAACTTCTCATTATGGTTTGGGCTTGATCGCAGGTATGAAAATGAGAGAAGCCTGATCATCTATGCTTCATCCAGAGTATAACGTTCATTGGAACTGTATTCCAGTTCGCATTGTCAGCCGGGTCAGCATTATGGCCGCTAGATGCTGCCGATTCTGGGGCTATAGTAGATATAGTTTTCGTCTAGTGCTTTTCTAGTTGCGAGATTGTCACAATTGGGGGTCAGTCTTGCCTGTGTACCATGCATGTCCTAATATGCTAGACTGTAAAGATTCTGTAGGGAATTTATCTTCCAGCTAGTTCAACTGTATCTAATGGTATGTTTATCCGTACACCATTGGAAGTTCATCAACCGGACTGTCGTCGAATAACATCCGGTCGAGCCTGAAATGAAGACAATTTTATTGACAGATTGATCTATTTGTCTAGAAAGTCATAGTGAACGGCAACACATTTTCATATGTTTCCTAATACATCTGTCGCTTAAAAACCCCGTCTATGGACCTTTCGTAGATGTCATTTGCAGGTACATGCATAATGCTAAATCCCTTGGAAGTATACATCCGTATATTCTGAAAATACGACCGTATTCAAAAATTACCTTTCCGAGCGAAATTAAAAGTAATTTGAATGTTAATCTGAAAGTTTCTACACTGCTGATTTTTAATTGTTAGAAATTTAAAATGATGTCGGACTGCCAGGGGCGTGTTTGAAATCCGTACGTCGAAAAAGAACACGTTATCAATCAACTAACATCCATTCCAAATACCGATAGAACGTGACCTTGCTTTTCGATAACCTTTCATACAAACTGTCAACGTCAGAAAATAACCCCATCTTTCTCACTTCATATGGAAGGATCAACGAATCCGGAAGAAGTAGGAGCAAGCATGCTATTTGTTTTGAGTTAGGATTAATTCACCAATTTGACAGTTATTGACACTTCGCATCAAACTGCTATAATTCTGGGAAGAGATGTAAGTTGGGAGGATTCCATCCTATTTCTAGTATTCCAGAAAACTGCCGAAAATAGTGAAGGTTTCTCTGGAAAGGAAAAAGCAGCTCGATATTAATAAACGCAGATGTGTTTATCCGTAAGCGTTATTGGCATTGCTAATAGGCATGTACCTCAACGTTGGACTTTTACCCTGAACATTGTAGATAATTTTCATACCAGTTGTTCTTTTTGATGATTCTCAATCAATGGTTTGCTCTTGGACTACATACTTAATAACAATGGAAACTGCAGAACAAACTGGAGTTTATCATAAATTCTGGAAAGGGACAACTGGAACAACTTTGAGTTTTAAATATTTGCTGCTATTTTATGACAATTTTTACAATTCAACCTTACAAAATTACTAATTATGCTGGAAGTGATCATATACTCGTCGTTAAAGAATACTTGGTTTTCGACTTAGCTAAAGCATGCCTGTTTCAGCAACAAATAGATGATACACATCGCAATATGATAGTACTTCTACCCTGGTGTACGAAGTTTGCTGTTAGTCGGCGCAAAATTTCGGAAGGTTTTATTTTATTTGTATTTTATTTTTATCTTATGATAATACGTTGCGCATATGACGTGTGCACTCCTTGCTTGACATGGTGCAACTAACAGCTCATCTACTTACTTTATATAATGTATACGAATGAATTGTG